CTTAGCCTGAAAATGCTGGATCTTCTTCTCTTTGGTATTCTCTTACCCAGAAGGCTTAGCTTCCTGGAAAGGGTAAGATATACAGACATTAAACAAAGCTATTTCGAAACTACGACTTTCACTGAGATAACTACCAGTTAAGATTCATAGATACAGTTACAGATATTATGCCTATGAGAAAATACCTAGTTAGTTGACCTAAATAAGATTCACTAGTTAAGTATAAAAACAATAAACAAAATTGTACCATTATAGCTTAAATAAATACGCACATATTGAACTAACTACGTTACCAAACCTTTATTTTGTGTATTAAAAGTTAGAGGCAACTGACAAGTAATTCAGGAGAAAACATATGCACAGTGAATTAGTTTAAATAGTGCATTATGACAGCTTTGGAAAAAATACAAAGACAAAAATAATGACATTAATTTTATTAGTTGTTTTGTTAATAACAAAATGGCCTTTATCTAAAGATTTTCCTAGAAAATGGTCTAATGATCTTATTACCTCAAAATAGTTTCTAAAAAAGTTACCTTTTCCCATTTATATCTCTTTTAAAAAGAAAGCACTTTTATTAGGCTTTCAATGAGGTTAGAAAATTGTTTTTATTTCCAAAGTCTCAGCATTGTTTCCAGATTTTATTCAAATGTTTTTCTGAAAATAATGCTGCATCAAAGAGGATAAAGGGAAGAAAAATCAGATGAAGCTTGTTAAAGGAGGATAGCACTGATAAAGAGCCATATTTGCATTTGGTTCCTTTAAAAAACCTTTTAATTACAGGAGTACATGTGCAGGTTTGTTACATAGGTAAACTTGTGTCATGGGAGTTTGTTGTACAGATTATTTCATCACCCAAGTATTAAGCCTAGTTCACATTAGTTATTTTTCCTGATCCTTTCCTTCCTCCAACCCTCAACCCCTCAAAAGGCCCCAGTGTGTGTTGTTCCTCTCTATGTGTCCATGTGTTCTCATCATTTGCTTCCACTTATAAGAAAGAACATTTGGTATTTGGTTTGCTGTTCCTGCTTCAGTTTGCTAAAGATCATGGCCTCCAGTCCATCCATGTCCCTGCAAAGGACATGATCTTGTTCTTTATAGCTGCATTGTATTCCATGGTGTGTGTGTGTGCATGGGTGTATGTATATCACATTTCATATATATATGAAATATATATATTTCTATATAATATATAATCTATATATAAAATGTATATATAATATATATAATGTATATAATACGTATAATGTGTATATGTATTACGTATACATTATATAATACTTTTTTTCTGCTAAATTCAAAACAGTTTCTTCGTATTTGAACTTTACAATACTAAAAATAATTTTCCTTACTTCGGGGGATGCAAGGGAAGGCTGAGGGAGGGGCAGGGGGCCCGGAGGACAGTTCATGAACCCGCCCAGACAGTTATGCACAATCAATCTGGTTAAATATGGTAGCACCCCTTGCCCTGGGCCGGCACCCATGCCAGCTCGCTGGGGACAAGATGTTCTGAGGTGTGAGCTGATCCAGGAGACATGCAGCTGGCAAAGCTTCTCACTGCCCCCGTGAAGGGGAAGGGTTCTCTGGAGGAGCTCATGTCAGGAGTGGGGCTGGAATGTTCTGGTAAGTCCCCAAAAAGCTCAGCTTTCATTTCGATGCCCCTGACAGTGTGAGCTTCTTTTAGGTTCCCAACCATGTTCCTGTTTTTGCACTGCTGACCCCCTCAGCCCCTAGTGTTACCCCAGCCCGATAGCCGCCACACAGGAGCACGAGGCATGCGGGCATGGAAACTTATGCAGACTTATATATAATATACAGATATAATAGATCTATATATCTATATATTGTATGTAAGATATATAGATCTATCAATAATATAGATATAGAGATATATATATCTACATATAATATATATAATTATATAGCTATATATAATATATATCTTACATATAACATATAGATATATAGATCTATTGTATCTATATATTATATCTATATTATATATAGATATATAATAGAGGTATATATTTCTATGTAATATATTCCTATATTGTATATTTATATATTCCTATATATCTATAATATGCATGAGATCACATACTTCCATGTAATATATCTCTATATAAAATTTATATATATAGATATATCTTTATATATTATAGATATTGATATATAGAGAGATATATATAAAAATATATTTTAACGATGCACTTGGGGATCGTATCCCCTTGGGCTGCAGTAACCACATCTACAGCCCTACTCAATATGGCCCAAGACAGACCACAGGACACAGAAGTTTGGGACAGGGGCCATGTTGTCACTCCCCAGGAAGGTGACTGTGATCACAGGTCTTGGAGGCCAAGGCTGATTTCTGACTAGATAAGCAGATGAAGGAAGTTGAGGACTCACCCTTTCTTTTTTAGTTTCTTGTGCTGTCCCCAGAGCTGGGTTGAGTGGCATCCCACAAAAATATATATATATGAAATATATGAAATACATATGAAATATATTTCATATTTCTGTATAATATATATTATGTATATTATATATGAAATACAGAATATATATTATATATATTCTATAATATATATTCTATATTTCACACATATAGAATTCTATTATATAGAATATATACATATACTATATACTTTATATCCTATATAGTATATAACATTCTATATATTCCATATAGTATATAACATTCTGTATATTCTATATAGTATATAACATTCTATATATTCTATATAATATATATAACATTCTATATATTCTATATAATATATAGAACATAATGTATATATATTTAGAGCACATTTTCTTTATCCAGTCTGTCATTGATGGGCATTTAGATTGATGATTCTCTGTCTTTGCTACTGTGAATAGTGCTGCAATAAACATATGTGTTCATGTGTCTTTATAATAGACCAATTTATATTCCTTTGGGTATATACACTGTAATGGGATTGCTGGGTTGAATAGTAATTCTGTCTTATGGTCTTTGAGGAATTGCAACACTGTCTTCCACAATGGCTGAACTAATTTATACTCCCATCAACAGTAAGTGTTTCTTTTATTCTGCAACCTCACCAGCATCCATTATTTTTTGACTTTTTAATTTTAATGCGTCATTTTGACTGCTGTGAGATGGTAACTCATTGTGGTTTTGATTTGAATTTCTGTAACGATCAGTGATTTTGATTTTTTTTCATATTGTTAGTCACATGTATGTCTTCTTTCGAAAACTGTCTGTCCATGTCCTTTGTCTACTTTTTAATGGAGTTTTTGTCAGGTTTGTTGAAAACTGGATGGTCATAGGTGTGTGGTCTTATTTCTGGGTTTCCTATTCTGTCCCATTGGTCTGTGTGTCTGTTTTTGAACCAGTACCATGCTATTTTCATTACTGTACCCTGTGCCAGTTTGAAGTCCGGTGTGGTGATGCTTCCAGCTTTGTTCTTTTTGCTGAGGATTGCCTTGGCTATTTAGGCATTATTTTTGTTCCATATGAATATTAAAGTAGTTTTTTCTAATTCTGTGAAGAATGTCAATGGTAGTTTAATAGAAATAGTAATGAATCTATTCAATGCTTGTTTCATGGGGGTTTGTTGTACAGATTACTTCAACAAATTGCTTGGAGCAATATGGCCATTTTAATATTCATTCTTCCTATCCATGAGCATGGAATGTTATTTCATTTGTTTGTGTCATCTCCATTTCTTTAAGCAGTGGTTTGTAGTTCTCCTTGTGGAGATCTTTCGCCTCCTAGTATTCCTAGGTAATTTTGTTGTTGCAGTTGTGAATGGGAGTTTGCTTCTGATTTGGCTCTCTGCCTAACTGTTGTTGGTGTATAAAAATGTTAGTGATTTTTGCACATTCTTTTGTATCCTGAGACTTTGCTGAGGATTACCAGCTTAAGGAGCTATTGGGCTGAGGCTGTAGGGTTTTCTATCTATAGGATCATGTCATCTGTAAACAGGGACAATTTGACTTCCTTTCTTCCTGTTTGGATGCCCTTTATTTCTGTTTCTTGCATGACTGCCCTGGCTAGGACTTCCAATACTGTGTTGAATAGGACTGGTGAGAGAGGGCATCCTTGCAACGAGAATGCCTCCAGCTTTTGCTCATTAACTACGATGTTGGCTGCAAGTTTGTCATAAATGGCTCCTACTATTTTGAGTTATGTTCCTTCAATACCTAGTTTATTGAGAGTTTTTAACATAAATAGATGTTGAATTTTATTGAAAGTCTTTTGGTTCTGGTTATGTGATGAATCACATCTATAGATTTACATATGTCCAACCAACCTTGCATCCCACGGATAAAGTCTACTTGAAATGGCAGATACGCTTTTTGATGTGTTGCTGAATTCAGTTTGCGACTATTTTGTTGAGGATTTTTGCACTGATGTTCATCAAGGATACTGATCTAAAGTTTTCTTTTTTGTTGTATCTCTGCCCAGTTTTGGAAGCAGGATTATGCTGGCCTGATAGACTGAGTTAGGGAAGAATTCCTCCTCCTCAATTTTTTGGAATAGTTTCAGCAGGAATGGTACCAGCTCTTCTTTGTACATCTCATAGAATTCAGCTGTGAATCTGTCTGGTCCTGGGGCTGGCAGGCAATTTATTGCTGTCTCAATTTCAGAACTCTTTATTGATCTGTTCAGGCATTCAATGTCTTCCTGGTTCAGTTTTGGGAGGTTGTATGTGTCTAGGAATTTATTCATTTCTTCTAGATTTTCTGTTGATGTGCATAGAGGTGTTCATAATATTCTTTAATAGTGTTTTATTTCTATGGGATCAGTGATAATAGCCCCCTTGTCATTTCTAATTGAGTTTCCTTGAATCTTCTCCCTTTTCTTTATTACTCTAGCTAGTGGTCAATTTTATTAATTTTTTTTTCTTAAAAAAACCACCTCCTGAATTTTGTTGATCTTTTGAATTTGTGTGTGTGTGTGTGTCTCAGTTTCCTTCAGTTTAGCTCTGATTTTATTTTTTTGACTTCTGATAGCTTTGGAATTTGTTTGCTCTTTGTTCTCCTGTTCTTTTAGTCTTGATGTCAGATTGTTAACTTGAGATCATTCTAACTTTTTGATGTAGGCATTTGGTGTTATGAATTTCTCTCTTAACACTCCCTCAGCTGTCTTCCAGAGATTCCAGGTATCTTTGTTCTCATTAGTTTCAAAGAACTTCTTGATTTCTGCCTCAGTTTCATTATTTACCCAAAAGTCATTCAGGAGCAGGTTATTTAATTTTTATCCAACTTTCAGTCCTGATTTCAAATTTGATTGTGCTGTGGTTCAAGAGACTGTTTCAGTTCTTTTGCATTCGCTGAAGAATGTTTTCCAATTATATGATTGATTTTAGAATATGTGCCATGTAGCAGTAAGAATGTACATTCTGTTGTTTTGGGGTGGAGAGTTCTGTCTTAATAATCTAATATTGTCAGTTGAATGTTAAAGTCTCCCCTATTATTGTATGGGATTCTAAGCCTCAATGCTCTCTAAGAACTTCATTTATGAATCTGGGTTCTCCAGCATTGAGTGCATATATATTTAGGAAAGTTCTCTCTCCTTGTTGAATTGAATACTTTATCATTATGTAATGTCCCTCTTTGTGGTTTTGAAGCCTGTTTTGTCACAAACTAGGATGGCAACACCTGCTTATAGACTCAAAGAGATGGAGAAAAATCTACCAAACAAATGGAAAACAGAAAAGAGCAATTTGCTTCCTGAAAATTCACGCTAAGTTAACCAAAGCCTACTGTGCCTTCTTCAGAGATCATTAATCTTACTTGTTTTAGATGTAATTACTTTGTATGTTGCCATCCTGCAGCTTCCCCTTCCCCACTCAGTTTCTTTAGTCAGGGTTAAGCATCCACAAATGTACTAGGAAGCACTTGCAAGAATACGCTTTGTTCAGGGACAGCTTCCTATGAGGAGGAGGATGTTTATCTTCATAGCAGATGTTTGGTTGGAGCTTCTACCCTGTTTATCTATATTTGTACTATTGTATGAAGATCCCTTATTTTTCTTCATGTGTTTCTTTTAAAAATTAATCAATTACATTTTTAAAAACTTAAGAAATAATTAAAAGCAAATAGAATTAGAATGAGAATTGTGTGTTAGACACAAATGTATTTTTCTCTAACTTAGAAAACAAATTGCCTGGATTCAAGTTTTGGCTCCACAACTTACTAGATGTGTGGTCAAATTATTTAACCTCTCTAAACTTTAAATTTGTTTATTAAATACAGATAATAATCCTTCCTACCATTTAAGATTATTGTAAGGATTAAATGAGAAACTGTTTGAAATGTGTGTTGTATATTGAATATCACATAACGAACATTCAATAAATGTTAATTCCAACTAGAAATTCTTGAGCAGGTCTTTTTTATATTAACTTATGATCCCTCCACAAAAGCACTGATGAAGCTCTCAGCCAGATGCAACTAAAGGAATTCATTCCACTTCACATTTTTCAAGAACCTGCCTGCATAATGCATGGGCTTCATGCCCCTCTAAGTTCATGGTAGTCTTTCTCAACCAGTTGTTTCTGAAACTGCTGAGAGTTTATGCTTGAGAGTCCTTATCATATCTATTTCTAAGAAACATTGGCTTTTCTTCAATATGCTAAATAAAATATTGAAGCCAATTTCTTGTTACGTAGAAAAGAGATTCTTCATCTGCCAGCATTTCTTCCCCAGTTATCCTTAATGCTTTTTTTCTTGCACCTGCTTCAGATTTTGCTTAAAATAATTTTCTCAGGGAGCGCTTTCCAAACCTGACTGTTTAAAATTATAACATCTGTCCTGGTTATTTTACATGTAACATTTATCATGTTCTGACATGTTTGTTTCATTTATATTTCTTTTATTATCTTCTACTAGAACGTAAAATCAAAGTGGGCAGGGAAATTTTGTCTGTCTCATCTATTGCTCAATTCTAAAGGCCTAGAACAGCACTTTGCACATAGTAAACAAACACCCAAATACCTGACATAGGAATGAATGAAGCTGTCTTGTTCCTTTTTTCTGTCTTCTTCTCTTCCCTCCCCTCTCTAAGAATTATTTATTGGAGGATCCAAGATGGCTGAATAGATACAACTCCAGCGCACAACACTCAGCGGGAAAGACGCAGAAATCCAGAGATCTCCTAGCTCCAAACGAGGTACCAAGTGCATTTCAATGGGTCTGGTCCAACGGTGAGCAAAGCCCACTCAAGGCAGACCGAGGAGGAGAGGGGGTGCTGCTTTACCCGAAAAGTGCAAAGTGCATCTGACCAGCAAGTCGGAGGCTCCCCCTCTAGCACTCCGGTCCAGATACAATGCTTCTCCAAAAGCCTCAGAAATACACAGAACAGGGGATCTTTGACAGTCAAGCACTGGGAATTACAAGTGTGGAGCTGAATAATAATCTAGGATGGTGTCCTGGATTGGCGCACAGACCTAAACAGACTCGTAAGCCCAAAAGGTGGCCAGGAGAACCTGTGGACTGAGCTATTGTCCCCTCCCCCTGCCTGAGATAGAGGGAGCTATAAGCGGGGGCAGCTGGGCGGGCCCCTACCCCATGACTGGAGAGAGGAAGGTGAAAAGGGGAGACAGCCCGGTGCCACTGGGCTAGTCCCCATCCTCCCCCACAAACCCCAGAAGGCTGAAGCTCTGACTCTAGCAGGTTGTGAAGCCAGTACCACCATCTGAGCTGAACCCTGAATGATCCAGCCCAGTGAAGGAAGGGCACAAACCACCATTAGAGCGGTAGGAATGGGCTACATGTTTTAACAAAAAACACAGGAAGCTTACGTAGCAATGGGATGGCGTTCTTGACAACCCAGCAGCACCTACAGGTCAGCAGAAGAGGCAGGCCTCCTCTCCCAGTATAAACAAAAAAGACACAGGAAGCTTCCCTAGAAACCCAGTAGTGCCTCCACAGGCAGACAGGCGACCTCATCAAGCAGTTCCCTGACAACACAGCCTGGTGAACCCACAAAGATGGGGAAAAAACAGCACAAAAAAGATGAAACCATCAGAGACCAGAGCACCTCTTCTCCTTCAAGGGACAACAACTCCTCAACAACACAGGATCACATGAAGACTGAGAAGGAGTGTGATGAATTGACAGAAACAGGCTTCAGAAGGTGGATAATAACAAACATTTCTGAGCTAAAGAAACACATTGTAACTCAACGCAAAGAAAACAAAAACCTTGAAAAAAGGTTAGACAAAATACTAACTAGAATAACCAGCTTAGAGAAAAATATAAATGACTTGATATAGTTGAAAACCACAGCACAAGAACTAAGTGAAGCAAACACAAGTTTCAATAGCTGAATCAATCAAGCAGAAGAAAGGATATCAGAGATTGAATATTAACTCAATGAAATAAAAAGAGAAGGCAAGACAAGAGAAAAAAGTGAAAAGAAATGAACAAAGCCCCCAAGAAATATGGGATTATGTGAAAAGACCTAACCTATGCTTGATTGGTGTACCTGAATATGACTGACAGGGAGAATGAATCCAAGCTGGAAAACATGTTCCAGGATATTAGCCAGGAGAACTTCCCAAGCCTAGCAAGGCAGTCCAAATTTCAAATTCAAGTAATGCAGACAACTCCACAAAGTTTTGTTTTTTTTTTTTTTTTTTTTTTTTTTTTGAGATGGAGTTTCGCTCTTGTTACCCAGCCTGGAGTGCAATGGCGCGATCTCGGCTCACCGCAACCTCCGCCTCCCGGGTTCAGGCAATTCTCCTGCCTCAGCCTCCTGAGTAGCTGGGATTACAGCCACGTGCCACCATGCCCAGCTAATTTTTTGTATTTTTAGTAGAGACGGGGTTTCACCATGTTGACCAGGATGGTCTCGATCTCTTGACCTTGTGATCCACCCACCTCGGCCTCCCAAAGTGCTGGGATTACAGGCTTGAGCCACCGCACCTGGCCAACTCCACAAAGATATTCCTCAAGAAAAGCAACCCCAAGGCACATAATCTTCAGATTCACCAAATGCTAAGGTCAGCCAGAGAGAAAAGTCAGGTCACCCACAGAGGGAAGTCAATTAGACTCTCAGCAGATCTCTTGGCAGAAACCCTACAAGCCAGAAGAGAGTGGGGACCAATATACAACATCCTTAAAGAAAAGAACTTTCAACTGAGAATCTCATATCCAGCCAAACTAAGCTTCATAAGTGAAGGACAAATAAAATCCTTTACAGACAAGCAATTACTGAGAGATTTTTGTCATCACCAGACCTGCCCTACAAGAGCTCCTGAAAGAAGCACTAAGCACAGAAAGAAACAAGTACCAGTCACTGCAAAAGCAAACCAGTGGGCAAAGACAAAAAAATGCAATGAAGAAAATGAGTCGACTAATGGGAAAGAAAACCAGTCAGTAACAAAATGGCAGAACAAATTCACGCATGACAATAGTAATGAATGTAAATGGCCTAAACGCCCCAATGAAAAGACACAGACTGGCAAACTGGATAAAAATTCAAAACCCATCAGTGTGCTGTAGTCAGGAAACCCATCTCACATACAAAGACACACATAGACTCAAAATAAAGGGATGGAAGAAGATTTACCAAGCAAAAGAAAAGCAGGGGTTGCAATCCTAGTCTCTGATAAAATGGACTTCAAAGATCAAAAGAGACAAAGAAGGACACTACATAATGGTAAAAGGATCAATCCAAAAAGAAGAGCTAACTATCCTAAATATATACACACCCAAAGCAGGAGAACCCAGATACATAAAGTAAGTTCTTAATGACCTAAAATGAAATTTAGATCTCCACATAATAATAGTGGGAGACTTCAACACTCCACTGTCAGGACTAGATCAATGAGACAGAAAATTAACAAGGGTATCCAGGACTTGAATGCAGAGCTGGACCAAGCAGATCGAATAGACATATACAGAATGTTCCACCCCAAATCCACAGAATATACATTTTTCTCAGCACCACATTGCACTTACTTACTCTAAAATTGACCACATCATTGGAAGCAAATCACTCCTCAGCAAATGCAAAAGAACGGAAATCATAACAGTCTATCAGACCACAGCACAATCAGATTAGAACTCAGGATTAAGAAACACACTGAAACCCACACAACCACTTGGAAACTGAACAACTTAATTCTGAGTGTCG